TTATCCCCTTGTGCATTGTGCATTTTTGGTCATCGAGGGCGATGCCAAAGTTTAAGTGTGGGGGAGTGAATTGGGCATTCGGGCATTAGTTGTTATTTGTAATTATTAAAGTTAGCATGCGCATGTGTTAGTTGTATATTCATAGGAAAGTCATGTCAAAATTTTCGAAAATTTTTCTTTAAACTGTATCTTTGAAAGCTGGCTAGCGTTTTGACTATGTTTTTAGAACATCCTTGAAGTATTTAGACTTAAATTGCTTGCACTATATTCTAGTTACCGAGAGGATGAAGGCATTAGTCACCAATAAAATAAATTCATAAAACATCCACCTCACCTAATTGATTCCCTTAGGAGAAGCCATTTTGAGCCTGACCGTTCTTTGTTTACCCAATTAATTGAGCTCCATAGCTAAATGGCCTGTGTTTTCTTAACCTCTGAATATGTCTGACTTAGTCTTGATGTTTAGGGAACTAGGGGATGAATTTGCTAAGATTAGAGAATTTTTGTAGGAGCCATTTTTGGCACTGTTCCTATGCCCCAAAGGGGGTAAGAGCAGTCACTTTTTAGGAATTTGATACATTCAAGGATTGCATTGTGGGCATGGATTCACTTTTTAATTAATGAACTTTAATGGCTATTTTTCCTTGGTGAGGCCGAGATTAGAATGGGGTAATGTCTAGTGAGAATCCGAAAGGTGAAAAATTAATATAACTAAACCTCTTACTTTGCGAAAAAGAGAATGGGAGCCCCAGTCAAAAAGCGTAAGATGAGACTTGGGTATCTTTCGAAAGAAATGGCGTTCTCGTGCCAACATGACAAGGAAAACTAAACATAATTAATGAACTTGGAGGCTATTCCAAAAAATTAGCTTTAGTCCTCCGCGTACTTCAAGTATACGTCAAAGCACAAAAGTGCCGCGGCGGTTTAGCTTAGTTGTACACCATGTCTACTCTTTGCATAGGTTTAGATGATTGTTCCTAATTTGTGGCCTACTAAGTTCTTTGATCCTAAGAATAGCCCCGAAATTTCTGAATGCATTAAGTCTTTGTTAGAATATTTCAATTTCTCAAGAAAAGGGACTGTTATTGTTTAACCATTCGCCATTCACCACCGCCTTCACAAATAATCGGTGGCCAATTTATTGATGCTGGCTGTCACTATTTTAAGGATGTTGTAAGTAGTTTTGGTCAAAACTATTAGCTCGTGTACAAAGATGTAGTTTAGGGTAGGATTTTGTTGATTTAAAACTTTCTGTTCTGTGAATATCCCTTTAACTACGTGTGCATGCTAACTGTTTTAATTCCGGGTGATGATTATGTAAGTCCCGTTGTTCAGTTTGCTTGAGGACAAGCAAAGGCTTAAGTGTGGGGGAATCTGATAAGTTCGTATTTCAACACGCATTTGATGCGTGTTGGAGTCAGATTTTGATGGTTTTCCTAGCTTTTGGGTGTCGTAAGTCTCAATTTTAGCTCAAGTCATGTGTACCGGGCATAGGTACGAGTTTTGGTATTTTTAGAGTTGAAATCAGATTTTTGGGACCCGGCATCGGCATTTGAAAAGAGATCGGGACGAGTTAAGAAGCATTCGAGAATGAATTCGCAGTTCTGGAGGCCACCGGGAGATTCACGATGATGTTTTGATGAAGAAAGAGCTATTGGATCGATCGAGTGGTCAAACGGAGGCTTAAAACGGAAGAAATCGAAGAAAATGAAGAAAAAAAGGCCACGCACGGCCGTGCGTACAGGGACGCACGGCGTGCGTGCGTGGCAGTAGCGGCCAAGAAAAGTAATGAGCAACGCACGGCCGTGCGTCCGGGTACGCACGCCGTGCGTCCAAGGCGTTGATTGAGGAAGAGCTACTGGCAGCAACGCACGGCCGTGCGTCCGGGTACGCACGCCGTGCGTTCAAGGCATTAAAATGGCGAAAGGCTACTGGCAGCAACGCACGGACGTGCGTAGGGGAACACATGCCGTGCGTTGCCTATTTTCACGCGCAGGTCCGTCGGACGCACGGACGCAACGCACGCCGTGCGTAGGCTCCGTGCGTACCGCGGATCTGTCCTTTTTCGACCCAAACTCATTGTTTTCTATAAATAAGGCTTCCCTAACCCCGTTTTGGGGTTCGGAAACCTAGAGAGAAGCTTAGGGACGTGTTTTACAGTATTTTTCCGATATTTTGTTCAAGACCCTGAGATTCTTTGTAAGTTTCATCTTTTTAATTAATGACAATTATTTCTATTCATCCCAATTCTGTTGATTCTTCAATTATGAATTGTGAGTAGTTTAATTAGGGATTTGGGGTTGATGAAGGGGTTAATCATGATGTATGGCTAGATTCTTGTCGGTTTAATTGCATGAATGCCGTTTAATTTGTGTATGAATAATTTAACTGATATCTCTTGTAACCTAGATGGCCACTAGAATTACAATTGCTTATAGAATAAATTAAGAGAGATCTAATTTGTTCTAGGACACATTCACACACACTTAATCGTTCGCTAAGAGATTAGTAGCGATTAAGGGGCCGTAAGCTCGCTCGTCTTGGCAATAATTTAGGATCTTGTCGCATGAGAGATCAGCCTGGTCCCCTAAATTATTGTACTCTACGCCGCGAGAGCGGTAAGAACTTAGTAATAATTAGCTAGGCTCAATTAAATTAAATTCATGTAATTAAGCCTGATCTGCCAGAAATCTGGTTACCCCGGAATCAATCCCTGTTCCCTTCGTCGTTAATTAACAAGAAACCAACATTTATTTTATTCGCTCATTCGCATTAGTTTTAGTTTAATCAATCAACCAATCTCGCACAATTGCATTTTTATTCTATTTATTTCTTTTTAGGTGCTGTTCTGTTCGTCTTATTCTTATTACTTATTGCTTATTCTTATTTTATTCAGATCAGATCAGATCAGATCAGAAAAATTCAGATCAGATCAGATCAGATCAGAAAAATTCAGATCAGATCAGATCAGATCAGAAAGATTCAGATCAGATCAGATCAGATCAGAAAGATTCAGATCAGATCAGAAAGATTCAGATCAGATCAGACCAGATCAGAAGCATTCAGATCAGATCAGAAACATTCAGATCAGATCAGATCAGAAAAGTTCAAACATTATTTATCACTTTTATTATTATATTAAATATTAATTATTATTATTATTATTATTATTATTATTATTATTATTATTACTATTATGATTATTATTATATAATTATTATTAATAATATTAATAATTATATGATAAAAAAAAGATATTAATAATAGTTATAATATTTTAATATAATAATAGTAATATAAATGCAATTGTTAAGAAGACTATTATTATTACAACATTATAATAATAATATGATTAATATTATTAAAATATTATATTATAATTATATGTAATTATAATTATAATTACAATTATAATTCTTATAATTATAAGTATAATCAATTGTAATTATTATAATTATATCTATAATTAATTATATTTATAATTGTAATTAATTATAATTATAATTACAATCATAATTATAATTATGATTATAATTATAATTATAATATAATATTATAATAATATAATACTAATTATAATAATAATCATATTATTATTATATTATTGTAATAATAATATTAATATAATAATATCATTATAATAATATTAATTGTATTTATATTACTATTATTATATTATAATATTATAATTAATATTAATATAATTATAATTATTATTAATTATAATTATAATAATTATAATTATACTTATAATTATATTATAATTATAATTTATGATTATAATTATTATTTTTATTATAATTAATATTAATATTATTATTATTATTATTACTATTGTAATTATTTTACGGAGTAATTATAATAATATTGATAACTATAGTTACAATTATAGAGATAAATATTGTAATTATAATTACAATTATAATTATAATTTTATTTAAATTATATTTGTAATTGCAATTATAATAATAATAATAATAATAATAATAATAATAATAATAATAATAATAATAATAATAATAATAATTATAATTATAATTATAATTATAATTATAATTATAATCATAGAAATATTCGAATCAGATCAGATCAGAAAGATTCAGATCAGATCAGAAGGATTCAGATCAGATCAGAAACATTCAGATCAGATCAGACCAGATCAGAAACATTCAGATCAGATCAGAAAGATTCAGATCAGATCAGATCAGATCAGAAAGATTCAGATCAGATCAGATCAGATCAGAAAGATTCAGATCAGATCAGATCAGATCAGAAAAATTCAGATCAGATCAGATCAGAACTTAAAAAATTCAGATCAGAAACATTCAGATCAGGCGAAGAGAACAGCTTCTTAATCGCTAAGTTTAGTTAATCTTTATTTCCCTTTTGTCCGTCCCTGTGGAGACGATACTCGTACTTTACACCACTTTTCTACAACCATTTTAAGTGCGAGAAAACATACATCAGATGTCCCAAAAAGAAGTTCTCATTTCCCTAAATGGAAAGTTATCCTACATCAAAACAGTGTCAAACAGTGCAAAACAGTGTCAAACAGTACCAAACAATGTCAAACAGTGTCCAAACAGTGTCAAAACAGTAAAATTTACCCCATGGTAAGTTTATTTCTTTAATATGTGGTTAGGTCAAACCGGGAACATCCCAACGGGACGGAGGGAGTATTAAATATATAAATAAGTATAAGCTAGATAAAAAAAAGCTAGATCCTTGGGTTAATTAAGAACTTAAAATTAATTCTTAATATGCACATTCTTAAAAGCAAAAGCTATGCTTTGTTGTTGTATAAAAGATAAGAATATATATATATACTTTCACCAAAAGCTTTAGAAGAATTAAGAAAACTAGGGCTATCTTAGCTTCCTTTAGGGTGTAAAATAAAGTACAAGGATCCGTGAAGTAGCTTTTACGCATGCATACACCGGATTGAAGCTAAGGAAAGCTTTCATGATTGAAAAGGTATATCCATCGATAGATCTATTTGATATCATGATCACAATTTATCCTTATTCCTTAAATTAGTTTTAATCTGTACTATAAATACTATATATGTTTGTAGTTGTGTAATTTTATTCCTTGTGAGGAAATCTTTAAACCGTTCGAACTGGTCCATCGAGGGCCACTAAAAGCAAAAGATTTGAAAGGGAAATGATAAAAAGAAGGGATCCTCCAATTTATGTTTCTAATCCAATATATGAGAATGTGTGTGGAGCAGATGCTGATACACTGATTATTTATTTACCAGGTAATTCAACATTTTTCGTTTTGAAAGATTGATTAAAACATACGAAAGTATATATATATATACCATGCATGCACGTTGTTTCAACCTTCAGGACCTCAGGTAAGACCTTATAACTCATGTACTCTTGAACAAGGGTACACTAAAACAATCATAAATTTCTAATACGGAGTATATGAATAACAGACTTAAATATGCCACTATATACTGAGTAATAATTAAATTAATTGAAGAGATGAGAGAAAATAACATCAAAATACTTACCATACATGCAAAATACCATTATTTTAGGAATCATCATATCTTTTAGTTATACTCCTAGTAATTTGATCTTACTCATATATAACTCTTCAAATTTTAGATTTAGTCTCAGAAGTTTTTCATATACATGTCAACAATTGTTATATGCTCTTTGACAGAATATTTTTCAAAGAAAGTGGTCTTATCAACAATTGTCATATGTGCTATGACAATTATTGGCATGTATATGAAAATTTTATGAAAACTTAATAGTATAAATTGATTATCTCCCACTTCTTCAACTTGTTCTTCTCCTCTCTTCGACATTTCTATTTCTCATTCATACTTTTTCTACTTTGGCCGTGTTTGGCATTCGGCGGTTAGCGGTTAGCGGTTAGCGGATTATGTTAGCGGGTTGAAAATAGCGGATTGAGTCAGCGGGTTTGATCAGTGGATTAATTTGGCGGGTTGCAAAAATATGTTTGATAAATTAGCTGTTTATTTATAGCGGAACCGCCGATTTCCAAACACGGCCTTTAATAATACGATAGTATTAATTGTGTCCTACTGATTTCCAATCTCCATGAAAAACATAAATTGACAAGTAAGAAAGAATGATGGTAGTAATAAAGAGAAATTACTCTCCATATTTATTTATTTGCAACTAAAGTCTTTTCTTGAAGTGCAAAACTGAAATAATATGACAAAAAGTAGTACTATATCCATATTTTAAAGTTTGCTACACTTTCCTTTTTAGGTATGTTTAAAAGTTTGTTACATTTTCTCTTTTAGTATGTTTTTCCTGTTAAATTATTCAGTTATACTTACATTTTCTACGTACTTTTTATCTTGTCTTTCATATTTGTTTCAACATCTTTCTTACTTTGACTACACTATTCATTACGTACCATAAGTCCGTAACTATTTCCTCCTTAAATAATGTGTCAACGACTATTGTAGCAATCTTTAAAATATGGAGAGAGTATATAAAAAGTATAAAAATTAATAGAGAAACATTAAAAATATGAAATAGAAGATGAAAAAGTAGAAAAATTAATTTACGCAGTGTTGCTTCGACTCAGTCTGAAATCCATGGTCTTCAATATTTATCATCATACTTCCAACTTTGCTTTAGCACCCGATTGTGTCTCATCAATCAATACAATATTGTCGGAAAACACCATGCACCACAATTTATCTTTTTGAATTGACTTTGTAAGTTTATTCATGACTATAGCAAATAAAAAATAACTCGGAGCGATCCTTGATGCACACTGATGGTAATAGGAAACTATGCAATCCTCCCTACACTAGTACGAACACTTGTAGTACAAGTCTCATACATATCCATGTGAAAAACTTATCAAAATAAGATAATGTTGCAAGTAGTAATGTTTACAAAAAAAAAATTGCAATCAAATAACTAAAAGGGGATACCTCTAAACAAAAGGCAGGTACGACAAGAAACTTAGGAAAAATACAATTGCACACAAATTCATGGCACTTACACACTTTTCACACGCAGTTTACATTACACCAAAAAGAAATTGTATCACTAAACAATATTTAAAAAAAAATTGTATCACTAAGCAATAATTCACTTCCAAAGAGTATGTCGCACTTACTTTTTACATGTAATTCATATTACTTGAAAGTTATTTACACAAAAGTGACAAAACACATAAATTTAATTTTGTCTCAATAAACAATATTACACTTTCCAATTAATCACATGTTTTTACAACATTCATAATATCAATTACAATGTAATCTCTCACATATGCACTAAACATAAACTATTCATATTATTGTACATTATTTATACGTGTTTACACTATTTATAACATTTACAAAAAAACTAACACCATTCACACTAATTATTTTTTAAACCTAATTCCATAAAACATAATCTCATTTACACATCATTTTCTACTGTAGCATGATATAATAATTGTGGTGCAGGATTGAATAAGGAACATATAAAGCTTCAATTGACCCAAAAAGGAAACATGAGGATCCAAGTCGATCCTCACCATAACAAGAAATGGATCAGCTTACAGAAAGAATTCACTCTTCCATTAGATTGCGACACTAAGAATATTAAAGCAAAGCTTGCAGTTGACATTCTCTACATCATACAACCAACTACTGCCGCCGCGAATGAGGAGAAGGAGGATGAGGAGGAGGAGGAAGATGAGGAGGATGATGAGGAGGAGGAAACAAAAAGTGGAATTAGTGTGGCAACAAAGCTGATGGTGAGATCTACTAAAATACTTTGTAATGTGACACTTGTAGCTATAGTGATAGTTGGTATTGGCTTGTATCTTAACACCATGATCAGATCTTTCAAGGAAGCTAATTAAGAGTGAATAATAGTCAGATCATAATACTGCATGATGATTATGATACAAATGTTTTTATTTTTTTCGTTTGATCATTGTTATTGTTGTGGATTTACTAACTTCAAAATCGTATCCAATAACTAGTAATTTTTTATACAAAGGACATGTTGAGGTTTATTCCTTCAACCCTTGGACCCAACACGTAAGCCCAAGGATTTCGAGTGGAGTGAGTGTATGAATGTCTAGCCCAACAACTATCAGATGGATCAGGAAACAAGAGTAATAGCAGGCAATATAAATAGGTATTATTAACTCCGTAATAACTCCCCTAAGTACAATCTACTTGCTAAAAAAGGCACGTCGGCCGTTCGTCTTACAAGGCAGTTAGAAATGCTGCGAGTAAGAACACTGAAGCTAGTATGCTAAGAATAGAAAGTTGCCAACCCTTTACAATGAAATAAATGCTTCTATTTATACCCGCCAATGGGCAGGTGGCTGTGCTGACGTGGCAGCCTGTGGACCGCTGGTGTCCCAACTACCAAATCTTTAGCATTAAATGCACTTCCCGCCAGAATCTAGGTTTCCCGCCGGATCAGTGGGGACGTTCGTCCACCCGGGAAGTGAGTTGGATTGCTCCAAGTGACCCTTGAGAGATATTGGCTGTTCGTCTCCTGGCCTTAATAGATACTCACCATGTGCACTGGGTTTTCTCCGATGACTACAGGCTTGCTCTGGGGACGTTCGTCGCCATCCCTGGTGGCCCGTGGTTCTGCTCCTTGTCCCTGCATAGACGTTCGTCGGAATGAGCTGCTGGGCCTGAGTCCTTCAACACCAGACGTTCGTCCATCCTCAAGGAACATGGGCCTGTGGGCTGGCCTAGTGTTCTAACTGGGCGTTCGTCTGGCAAAATGGGTTAGTGGGCCGGACCTCGGCTTGGGCCCTTAACCCAACACAAGTCCCCCACTTCTGATGTTCTGAGCATGCGCAGGACATAAGGAAGTATGAACCTCCCCGAAGTAGACGTCCGTATCTTGGTACTTATGTTTATTGCATCCGGTGGAAACGTACGCTCGTGGTCATGGTGTCTGACAGCTGTCGACGGTTCAGGAAACGAGGTGACGGCTGATGTTGCGGCGGTGCATTTTCCCGAGGAAGTGTCATCATTACGTTCCCATCCCACGCACAGCGCGTGGGCCGGAATACGCTCCTTGCCACGTGTCAGCCCCTCGTTGGTTTCCCCATCGGTGTTTCTCCTATAAATGCCGGTTTTTCCCTCTGAATTAGGGTTCCCAATTTCTGCTTTCTTGCTCTCGATTTTCCGCAGCTCTTCAAGTCTCCTGAATTCGGCCAACCATACCTTTGTAAGGTAATTTCCCCCCTCTGCTTCTTTTCTTTACTCTGATTTCTAGCCGGAATGACTTCGATGGAGATTTCCTCAAGTTCTGATTCCGGTTCGTCGGGTTCCTCCTCGGACTCCTCTTCTGAAAATGCGAATGCACGCTCCCTGGGAAAAACTAGTGTTTCCGGAACCTCGGGTTCGGCCACGACGGTGGGAACCATCCGGGCTGATGGTGAGCCGGGTGGTGCTTCCCAAGGTAGTGGGAGCAGCGCCGGGGACGGGGGTGCTGACGGGGCAGTAGACGTTATTGACGCAGTCCCCCTGAATGAGCGTCCTGCTGATTATGATTCTGGAGAGGAAGCCGAATCCGGTTCTGATATGGAGGTGTATGATCTGGGCATCCCCACGGATATGGAGCGCCACATCTGCCCGATCAGGAGCGCCCTTGACCACGACCAAGTCCTCTCCCGCGTCGCCCTTAATAAAATCCGTACCTTCCTTCCTCCGCCGTTCGTCTGGAGTGTGAGAGGCGCTGAGCATGTGATGAAAAGACGTCCGGGGATGATCATGCTTCACCTGGATTCCGTTGAAGCCGGGCTGCGGTTTCCACTTCATGCGTTCTATGTGGAGTTCTTCCACTGTTTCCAGGTGGCCCCGGCGCAATTCATGCCAAATTCTTATAGGTTCATATCGGCCTTCTTGGTGCGCTGCAAACTTGTGGGGGTCGATGCCACTCTGGAGCTTTTCCACTATTTCTACCGCGTCACTCCCCAGAATGCCGACGGGTATCTGAGCGTGGCCGCACGTCCTGGGAGACGGCTGTTCAAGAGCTATCCCTCGTCCATCCACGACTGGAAGAACCGCTTCTTCTTCCTCCGATACGACGGGCCTCCTCTCCCTCTCCGGTGGAATGGGTATCCCCCAAAGATAGAGTCACCGGAGCCGACCGACGATCTGCTTTTGGACGCGGAGAAGGTGTTGGAGGGTGGCGTCCGTCCCATAGCCGGATATCTGACCTTCGAGGCACTCTCCGGGGCAGGCATAGGTATCGCCCGTGTCCCTGGACTTTTTCTACCCTTCGACGCTCGTCTCGGGGCACCGGGCGGTCCTGTCCTTCGAGGTGAGTGTCTTATTCTACTTCCCGCTCGTCTTCTAATCTTTGTTGTTTCTTGCAGGTTCACCGCCAGATCGAGATCAGATGAATCATGCTGAGTGCCTGAGAACCAGGAAGGCTAAGGCGGCTGCGGCTAAAGCTGCGATGGCGAAAGCCAAGAATGCCACCGCCTCGGACTCTAACTCCTCGGCTTCAGATGCTGCCCGGCGAACTGCCGAGGGTGAGCAGCATTTAATCGCCACCATGCTGGCCCAGGGTTCTGGGGCCCCTGCTCTCGAAGCCGCCCTTCCGCCGCCGGTCGTCCCCACGAAGACGGCTCCTCAGAAGGGGACAGAGAAGGTCCCCGAGAAGAAACAGAAGAGGGGCCGCGAGGCAGGCTCCACTGGCCCCCTGCTGGAAGATGCCGGGTCCCTGCCTTTGAGTCGCCCGGCGGAAGAGCTTTGGAGGGAGATGGCCCTCAAGGCCGGTCTCGAGCTGCCCCGCCGTTCGTCGTCTGAGGCGACAAGCGCTGCCCTGGCAGCCGCTCTTCAGGTAATTCCTCCTTGCTAGATCTGAGTATATATATTTTTTTTTCCTTGACGTTCGCCCTCTGATCCTTACTTTTTCTTCTGTCATCCAGTCTGGGCTTCTAGTCCTTCAGGCTGAAGCTGCCAGGGAGGCTGATCTCAAGGAGGCCAAGGCTAAAGCCGATGCGTCCATTGCTGCGGCTCGGGAGGCCGCCCGTCGAGCTGAGGCGGAGGCTGCAGCCAAGGGGAGGGAGATTGCAGCCCTGCAGGCTGAATCCCGCAGCCAGTCGGCCGGCCTTGAGAGAGCCGGTTTCAAGCTCGTCCCGGTGCTCCCTGCCGCCAAGGATGCCACTCCGGAGTGGTTAGTCGACACCTCCGGTTACAGGAACACCGGGGAGTTCATGGATTCCGCCAGGGATTATTGCGCCGGAGCCTTCGGTGATGTGTTCTCTGCAGCGTTGGCGAAGATCCCACCCCGGCAGCGTCTGGCGAGCGGGGTCCGGATTCTGGAGAGCTCCCCCTTGTCCCACAAGTTCCTTTACGAGGTCGGCGACAGCTCCTTCGCCGCCGGCTATAATGAGGGGGTCAAGGCCACTCTCCCCATCTTCTCGAGGTTGCAAGGGGCCGATTTTGAGCTGGCTGCAAATACGGACGACGATCTGCTGCTCCAAGCCTTGGGGAAGTTGGGGAGAGACCAACGGCGGGAGGAAGCCAAGGCTAGAGGGGAAATTCCGGAACCCCCGTCCCCCGAGCCCGAGGAAGAGGAGGAGGAGCTGAACCAGGGTGGCAGCCGACCGGAATCCCCTTTCTTTGTATAATGTAATTTGTATTTTTCCATTCTAACTTTTGTAATGTCCGGCCGTCAGAGCCGAAGAATACAGACACCTTTTTGCCCATAATTGTTCCATGTTCATGCTTTCTACTTGTTATTTTCCTTCCTTTTGTCCTTTGTTGTATGGAAATTCCCCTTGCGTTTCGATATTCTCTGTCGCATAGTCTGCGTGGACGTTCATCTCTGTTCCCCATTCGGCTTGGGGGCAGGGGCGTCTCTTTGCCAAAACCCTGTACACATTTAGTGCGCGGCGCCTATGTTAAGGTCCGTCTTCGGACGGTTACACCCGGCGCCGATACTGGCCGCCCCTCCTGCAACAGCATTCTGATGGCAAGACGACGTTCGTCGGGGGTTGGCCGAACAGCATGCTTTGCAAGTGTGGTCACACGCACATCGGAGATTGCCCCAATGCTTGCTAACGGCGTTCCTCTATCGTCGCGTGGCCTGAACGCTAAAGCCTCGCGCAAGGGTGTCCGTCTGTCCTGCATGTTCATCTGGCACGAAGTGTGGGAAAACGACGTTCATCCTCCGTGCACCCCTAATGGATGTGATTTTTACTTCATCCTCTTTGTGTCCATCGCTTGTAGTATGAGAAATCCTTCCGGCGCCTCGACACATCTTTACCGCTCATGCGGTATCTTGACAATGGGAAGACGTTCGTCGGTAGTTGCCTTGTCAGTACGCCTCTCGAGTATGTACATATGGGCGTATTTCCCTGAAACAGCGCTTGGTGATGACGTTCGTCTACAGTTGCGTGATATGAGAAACTGGTGTGCTGCAAGACGGACGTAGCCGGTCGGTGCGTGTGTCCTCATCAGCCGCCGACGCTAAGGTCAGCCGGGGAATTACGGAAGTATAGGAAGACGAATGTCTTCAAACCCCTCCGAGCCGGCGAGCCCTCCTCAAGGGACGTTCGTGGCACGGACCCGGATGTCTTTGTGGTGGTTATGCGGCGACAAAATCGAGACGCCTTAAATGCCGTGGTAGGCACCGGTACCCAGGCGCCACGTGTCCTGCTTCGGTTGGGGCAATTCCGCGGTGTTGCCTATAAATACCCAGGGTCCAAGTGATCCACTCACATTTCTCCTTACGCTGCACAATTGTCTTCTCTCTCTAGACTTCTCTCAACCCGTATCGGAAATCTCGAAACCCAAAGGTACCGTTCGTTGTCATGTCTTCCGAAAGTCGCTTTGACGATGGATGTTCTTCCGGCGATGACCTGGAATATTATGAGCGGGGAATGCCACCCCGGCCTCCCCGTTATAGCCTCAGCTTCTCATGCGTCCGGCGTCAAGTTCAACGCCTGACGAACGCTGACAAGCGGCTGATCAGTCAA